GCTGTGGGTTAATGCGCTGGACTGCAAAGCTGGTTTGAAGCACAAGGTCAGCAGTTCAAGCTCACCAGCAACTCCTCAGAAACCCTATACAGGGTCACTATGGGTCAGAACTGACTCATCGGCACTTAATAACAAACAACAATTTAGATTCATTGCCCTCTACACTTTCTATTTTTGTGTTAAAGTTGTCAATCTGATCTCATACAGATAATTCTTTGAAAGAGTACAATGTTTAAGGCAAACATCCTTTATTAATTGAGATAAATTGTTGTTCAGTTTAAAGATGGTTTCAGGGAGCACCTGTCTTTTGAATACTAATCACTCACTGCTTTGAGCTGCTTTCAGTGTTTCTTTTTACTTTTTTAAAACTTCCCACTGTCATGTCCTTCTCTCCAAACAGAATGCAGACTTGTAAAGGGGTAAGTGGGCTCTTGGTGGGACACTCAGGGCCAGGCCTACAGCAGAATTTATTATGAACTTCCAACTCCAAATGCAACAGAGGCTCTGCTAACGGCCGAAGAAAACCCCTCCAAACACACATGCACCTTCCTGTGGCCCAGAGCTGTGGGATGATTATATGAGGCCACAGATGAGCTCCCATTGATAAGAACTATCATCTGGACTTGAGTATTGGCTTCCAATACCTGAGGGGCCTACAAAACCCAAAAACATGAAACACTAGACTAGCTGAAGCTCACAGCCTTTTTTTCTGTACTTCAAACCCCTTTGGCAGATTGGTGAGGCCTAGGCACCTGGCTCTGGACAATGCTTTTGAATACATAAAATACAATACAAAGGACTATGGAGGGATTGTACGAAAATAAGCTAACAGAATTTTAAAAATTGGAATATATAGTAATAGATATGCTTTTTAATTAATCAATAGTAAGATCTGGCAGAGGATTTATTAACTACTGAAATTATGAGTTAGCATTGAGCATGAACAATATTTTAAGATCCCTATTAAAATAACTGTGTAACATGAAAATATCTGTGATTTTTTTTTTTTTTTTTTTTGGTAATAATGTCACAGGTTGTGCTAATGTTACTTAGGTTTGTTACCTACATGTATGATTGAAGGAAATGTTCAATCTTGGTTAGAAGTTAGTGCAAATATTTTTCCCAACCAAATTCATGGGTGGCCTGCATTCTCTCTACAGATGCTTTAGAGCCTGAAGACTCCAAAAATGTGTTAAAAGTTGTCTTGACACAGAAGTTGATCAGCAAGGCTTCTGTAACCCTCCCCTCCGTTTATACACCTCAGGCAGCCCCGGGCATCAGGAAAGGTATGAGAAAACTACTGGGAATCCCCCTCATCATATCCACAGACACCCCCCAGCCTCATGCAAATCTTACCTACAGCAGGGAATGGTACAAATCTCTGGACAAGAAGGCGAGTGGCCGGGGTGAACTTGTTGGCTTTCTGAACCAGGACATTAAGGCCCACCTGATAAAGAAAAAACCAGAAAAGTATATGAAGTTGTAGTGGTCTGTGGGAGGAAGGACAAAGAAAGAAAGGGGTCATATTCCCTGTGAATGGGCACCCAGGCCCCTATTCCACAGTCACTGGATGCTGTACATGTCCAGTGTGGTTGTTTAAACCACCATTAGCTATTCATCCCAGTTAATTGGCCCTTGAGGAAGGAAAAGAGGAAAAACATCACTCTTGCCCATAGGCGCGCGCGCACACACACACACACACACACACACACACACGGGATAGGGGAGAGATGGAGAGGTATTTGCTAATAGAACATTATGTAATTTGCAACTAAACTACCAACTGTTCCACAGAAGAAAGATAGGCTTTCTGCTCCTGTAAAGATTTACGGCCTCGGAAACCCTGTACAGGGTCACTATGAGTCGGAACTGACTCCACGGCATACAACAACAACATTGAGTCAAATACTACTCATGACAACCCCACATGGGCCGAGTAGAATAGGGTTTTTCATGGCTGTGACCTTTCTTCTTCCTAGGAGAGACTCTGTTGTTGTTGTTAGGTGCCATCGAGTTGGTACCAACTCATAGCAACCTTATGCACAGCAGAATGAAACACTGCCCAATCCTGGGTCAACCTCACTATTGTTGACACGCTTGAGTCCATTGATGCTGCCACTTGGCCAAACCATCTCGCTGGGTGGTCTTCCTCTTTATCTGACCTTTCACCTTACCAAACATGATACCCTTCTCCAGCGACTGGTTCCTCTTGACAACATGTCCGAAGTATGAGAAACAAAGTTTGGCCATCCTGGCCTCCAAGGCGCACTCTGGCTGCACTTCTTCCAATACAGATCTGTTGGTTCTTTTGGCAGCCCATGCATGGCACTTTCAATATTCTCCTCCAACACCATGGGTTCAAACTGACACCCTCTCAGTTAGTAGCCCAGTGCTTAACCATTTGTGCCATCTACCTTTAAATGAGGACTTCTAAATTATTTGTCTGTCAGTTTGTCGTACTGTGGCGGCTTGCATGATACTGGAAGCTTTATCACCGGTATTTTAAATACCAGCATGGGGTAGGTTTCAGTAGTATCTTCAGAATAGGACATAGAAAGAAGGAGAAGCAGACTACTTCTGATATTTGTTGTTGTTGTTAAGTGCTATTGAGTCGGTTCTGATCCATAGCGACTCTGTATAAAGATTTCGAGGAGTTACTGGTGAGTTAGAACCACTAACCTTGCAATTCAAACCGACTTTGCAGTCCAGCACATTAATCTACAGTGCCACACCTAGAGTCTGAATGTTTAACCACTGAAAACCTTATGAATAGCAGAAGAGCGGGCAGATAAATACCAGAAAACAAAACCAGAATATTTTCAGATATAGTTCCAGAAGAGGAGTCCTTCAGGTTGCAAGCACTCAAAATACGACTGGGGAAGGGCTACCTTATCAAAATAGAGTTGACCATGATGATGTGAATGGAGTAAAGCTTTTGGGACCTTTATTTGCTAATGCAGCAGAACTCAAAATAAGGAGAAAAAGCTGCAAACATCCATTAATAATTGGAACATGAACTGTACAAAGGATGAATCTATGAATATTGGAACTTGTGACAAATGAAATGGAATGCATAAAGACTGATATTCTAGGCATTACTGAGCTGAAATGGACTGGTATTGGTCATATTGAATTGGACAATCGTATGGTTTACTATACTGTCAATTGCAAATTGAAGAGGAAAGTATTGCATTCACTGTCAAAAAGAACATTTAAAGATCAACTTTGAAGTACAATGCTGTTGGTCACAGGATGATATCCATACATCCACATGGAAGACCCAAGTCCTGGTGTGACACTGTAGGATAAGCACTGGACCACAAGGCCAGTTTGAACTGCAAGGTCAGTTGTTCAAACTCACCAGCTGCTCTTCAAAAACCCTGTACAGGGTCACTATGAGTCAGAACAGACTCAATGGCATTTAAAAACAACATCCACAAGGAAGGCCACAAGGTTGGTGGTTCAAACTCACCAGCTGCTCCTTGGAAATCCGATACAGGGTCACTGTGAGTCAGAACTTACTCGATGGCACTCAACAACATGTGCCAACCACTAAAGGCAGTGATGATGAAACTAAAGAATCCTATCAACTTCTTGAATCTGAAGTTGATCAAACATGCAATCATGATGCACTGATAATTACTGGTGATTGGAATGCAAAAGTTGGAAACAAATAGGAAGGGACAGTAGTTAGAATGTATGGCCTTGTTGATAGAAATAATGGAGACCGCGTGATAGAACTGTGTAAGACCAATGACTTTTTCATTGTAAATACCTTTTCTAAACAACATAAAAGGCAACTATACACATAGACCTCACCAGATAGAACACACAGAAATCAAACTGACTACATCTGTGGGAAAAGACAGTCAAAAACTCAGTATCATTAGCCACACAAGGCAATGGCAGACTGTGGGACAGACCATCAATTGCTCATATGTATGTTTAGGCTGAAGCTGAAAAAAATTTAAATAAATCCATCTCAGCAAAAATATGAACTTGAATTTAGAGACCATCTCAAGAAGAGATTTGATACAGTAGACACTAATGACCGAAGACTAGAAGAGTTATGCTATGACATTAAGAATATCATATAGAAAGAAAACAAAAGCTCATTTAAAAAACAGGAAAGAAAGAAAGACCAAAACAGATGCCAGAAAAGAATCAGAAACTTGCTTTCCATCATTGTTGTTGTTGTTGTCAGGTGCCATCGAGTTGGAACCGACTCATAGTGACCCCATGCAGAGCAGAACGAAACAATGTCCGATCCTGGGCCAACCTCACTACC